CGGTGAGACTTGGTTTAAAAACTTAAAGAATAGGATCATATATCCTCTTACTGTTGAATCAGTATGGCAACCCTAGAGAGGGCGTCGATGTTTGGGGAGGAAAATGGCTGTGCTACATGGAGGACAGAGAAGCGCCCACGTAGGCAATATTGGAAGACAGGTTCGCCTYGGACACTTAGCTATTTATTTTCCACTTTATTCATATAATGGGTTCGATCTACTCCAGAGTCCGACATGTCCGATCTACCATTTGACACGAATAACCGTCGGTCGGGAGGTCTATCGAATCCCTAACCTATAAATTGAGGGCACCATTTCCACACCAGGTATCGAATTTCTCCTCAAACTTACTATTGAGTTTAAGCTGTTTTACTAACTTGAGCGTCAGAGAGTTTGCCCTCTTGTGCAGGTCATTCCGTGTCGTTCCGAGTCAGCTAAGCTTGCGTGTCCGACCTTGACCAGGTCTGACCTCGTCCCATTTTTCGCATATATTTATATATATATATATATATATCTAATAATATTTGAAAATATATATTATTATAGCAGTAATTACAAACCAAATTAAAAAAAATTACTAATTTCTTTAGTTATAAAAACTTATAAATTTTAATAATAGTATATATTGAGTAATTAATTACAGTATTAATTCATTAACCTATGAATTTATTTACTATAAAATTCTTCAGGCCAGTTTGATAATCAGTTTTGTTCTTTGTTTTTGGTCTTTCTGTTTTTTAGTTTTTAGTTATTTTAGTTTGTAGTTTTATGCTTTTTGAAAAGGAAAACCATATATGTTTGATAACTGTTTTTTGTTTTTTTTTTTATTTTTAAAAAACAGAAAACCAAATATGTTTGGTAACCATTTTAAGTTTTTTTTTTTGTTTTTAAAAAGTTGGAAAATTAAAAAATACATATTGGAGAGAGAAAAAATTGATGTAGGTAGAGATGGCAATGGTGTGGGGCGGGAGTGAGGATGACTCTCCCATTCTCGTGGTCGTGAAAATTATTTTTAGTCCCCCGCCTCCACCTCGTTTTCTGTCCGATAATCGAGATCCATGTTAAAGAATCCTTGCGAATGGGGATATTCGCGGGAAAAATGACCAATTGTATAATTATTTTTATAATTTTAAAAAAATAAAAAGTGTAATAAATATATATTAATTATTTTTAGAATTATTATTGAGTAATTAGTTTTAAAAAATATTTAATATTTTATTTACAATTTAGTAAATATGTCACTAAAAATATATTAATTATTCTAAGAATTGAATCGGGGATGAGGTTGGACATGTCTTTCCTATTTTCTAGAGCAAAGACTCGATCCTACAAAAATTTTTGTATCTCTAACGTAGAGACATGCAAATACAAGTTTAGAGAAATGAAATAAACTTCTGAAGGATAAATTTTAGAGAGATAAAGAAAAAAGATTTAGGAAGAAAATTAGTAAAAGGAAAGTTAAAAAAAAGAGAAAAATTTTAGAGAAAAAGAGTAAAGTCGAGAGGAAAAAATATATTAAAGGGAAAAAAAGAAATTAGAAAGAGAAAAGAAAAATTATAGTGAGAAAAAAAATTTAGAGATAAAAACAAATTCGCAATATACTTTTTAGAAAAAATAAATAAATAGAAAGAGAAATAAAAGTTTAGTGAAAGAAAGTTGGACSAGAAAATAAAATATAATATATAATTTTGTCAGAAAAAAATTTCAAAGGAAAAATAGATTAAGAAGAAAAAAAGTTATAAAAAGACAACTTTTAGAGAGAGAAAAGTTCGAAAAAATATTATTCTTAGAGAGAGTCGTGCGAATGATTTATAAAACAATAAGAAAAAAGAAAAATACATAGACCACGAATTTGAAGAGAGAGAAAAATAATAATAAATATCTAAAATATTAAAATTTTTGGGAGAGAAAAAAGTTTTTAGAGAGAAATTTATGAAAAAAATTTAGAGTGAGACATAAATTAATACGTTAATTGTTGGGAAAAAAGATATTTACATGGAATTTCAAAATTGTTTTTTGAAAAACAAAAAACAGACCATTGTATTGATTATAAAACACATTGTTTTTCAAAAAACTAAAAATCAAAAACAAAAAATAAAAGATAAAATGGTTATCAAACGAGCTTTAATTAGCACTTATTTATATAATACACATAATTACATAATCACACCAATCATCAAGATGTGTGTAAAAAAGGGGCATTGGGCTCAACGTCCCACCTCCCATCTTAAAATTTCTTGAAAAAATAAGGAAATTTTAAGTAAGTGGTGAAATCTTGCAACCCATTTAAGAAAATGTCAATTTGTTTATAATTTTACAAAAATGGCTAAAGGATATATTTTAAATTTTACATTTTTTGTTTTCTCCCTACAATGCCTTCCCCATATTTTTTGGAATTTGCAAGTATTTAACCACCCAACAAACTTTCTTTTCAATTCAAATTTTGTTTCCTACTTTCAAGGGATTTTAACTTAATTATCCTTCTGTCATTCTACTCTATCTTCTTCTTTTAAGTCCCTTCTTCTTTCTTTGCAACAATGATGAATGTAGTAATCACAATTCTATATGGTGGTACGTGGAATGAAAAAAATGGGTACAACAATTTCAAGATCTCTTAGATATTAGAAGAATTACCAAAATTATATGGTTAGTAAATGTATATACCGGTTGATGAAAAACCAACATTAAAATACAAAACACGTATAAATCGCAATGCAACTCAATCATCAAAATTAAAACATCTATATATGTATATACTAATAATTCAACAATTAACAAAACATGAAAGTCAATAGATGTATGTATTAATTCAAGAAACAACCAAATATGAAAATGAATACATCTATGTGCTGATGTACAACTAAAATATCATGAATATTGTTTAACCCTCGAATCTCGAAGACACGTCATCCCAGAATTTAGCCAAAAGGGGAGTTATCTGAGAACAAGGTTGGATCATGGCCGAATTGGGCATTCGCCCGAGCTGGGTATCAAGTCAGGCGGTTTATCCCAATACACCATAACTGTCAAACCGCTCTCCAACTCAACACATAGTTTTCCTACTTTTATGGAGAAAGAACCATTTAATTCAAAACGAGGAGCCAAACTCCTCAACGGTCATATTCTTCACTCCTTCTATAAATACCGGCTAGGCAGCTGGAGATGGTATGTGAAAAAAGACTGATTTACAACACTTTCCTATTTTTTCGGGCACAGAGACTAACTTAATCATCGGAGTGCTAACTTGTCTTTTGCAGGATCAAATCCAAGAGTGTTCTCGAGGAATTATTGTACTTATCGATTTACGGTAAGAACAATTGGCGTCGTTTGTGGGGACGTAAGTTCTCTTGTAATATACAAGCAAACAGCCAGCCCTGTGACTCGCCCGGAACGAGATGGCCGACGAAGGAATGTCTCAGCGATCTTTCACAAGTAGTCGCACCCAGAATACAGTACGTACTCCGACCTGTTGACGAGGGAGACTGCCGTTGATACGAGGCGGAGGAAGAATGAGAAATACAACACGACCCAATTCCTCAAGTACCGCACGACAAATGGGCCAGGAATTAATGGGGCTATGTGCAGAGCTCAACGAGGTCCGGTCGGAGCTGGGAGGAGTTGCCAAGTTGAGGGCGGAGATAGCCAATTTGACTGCAGCCTTGCGTCGTAGTCAAATTCCGGAGGCTGATGTGGGAGACCAGCATGCACCTGGGCTGTCTATCAGGGTCTGGGAGGTTGATACACATGAACAAACCATCGAATCTCCTATTCAAAGAGATCCAGTGCGTGGAAAAGCACCTGCGGTATCAAGGGAGGAAGACAACCCATTACGAGTGCCAGTTCGTAAGCGCCTGAATTTAGGGACGAGACGAGCTACTACTCGTGACCCAAGAGAAGGTCTTCGTGTGCATATAATGACAGAAACCCCAGATCTCTGCAGGACACTGGAAGAACGCAACATGTCGCAGTAAGCCGGGCAACCCCAATTACTCCAAACTTGGGGTCTACACCTGCGACTGACGAGGTAAATTCGAATATAGTTCAACAGCCACATGCTGAAACAACTGCAACTACATCGACATATCCAGCCACGTGGATGTGCCAGAGGTGCAAGAGTCAATGAAGGAAGTATCAGCAAGCTTCAAAATGATTTTGAGGCTTTAAAGCAAAGCTGTAAGTGGAATGATGCTAGTTGGGTGGAGCTGGGTGAATGAGAGGATCCCCCTTTGACAGCCCCCATAATGACATATTCACTTCCATAAAAAATGAAGAAATCCGATATGAAACCATACGATGGATAAACTGATCCGATTGACCACATAGACCTTTATGAAGGTTTAACGGAGTTAAATGCTGTAGGGGACGAAATGAAGTGTAGGGCTTTCTCTGTTACTTTGAAAGGCCAAGCTCGGTCTTGGTACATGCAATTAAAACCTAAGACCATCGGGTCCTAGAAGTAATTGAAGAAGATCTTTATAAGCCAGTTCTCGGTGCAACATGATAGGAAAACGCCCGATACACATCTCCTCACCATCTATCAATCAGAGGGTGAGTCGCTGCGCGACTTTGTCGAGAGATTTATGACAGAAAAGATTAAAGTCCCCGACTGCTCGGATGATGCAGCCATGATGACCACATCGGCCATAATTAATCCCGACCTGGTTCATTTCTTTGCTATCCAGCCAGCTCAAACTTACACCGAGGTAATTCAGCAAGCACGCCAGTATATGCACGCTGAAGATGTACTTCGAGCAAAACACCTCTAGCATCAAACAGTGATATCTAGGCATGCAAAACTTTGAGGCCAGAGCTCGCAGTCGAAAAAAAATCATACAAATCGTGATTATGAGAAAAATAAGCCTACTCATGATAATTGATCACGACAAGAACGAACGATGTGAGTTCATGATCGACGTTTAAGGGAGTTTGACCAATACACCCCGCTCAATGTCCCCTTGTCGGAAATTCTGGCCAATATTGAAAATAGCGACCTACATACGATGTTGGAGAAACCGAACAAGATGAAGTCGAGTCTGGATAAGCGAAGTAAGAACAAGTATTGTAGGTTTCATAGAGACCATGGACATGATACTTCTCAGTGCTATGACTTGAGAGACAAGGTCGAGAATCTGATCAGGCGAGGTCACCTGAAGAAATATGTTGGGAAGAAGGATTCTTGTTTTTCTCAGGGTAAAAGAAAATTTGACCGATTAGATCGTGATGATCGGGATAAATCTCCATCACCTAAGAAAAGAGAATCAAGTGGAAAGAGGCTTGTAGTATTAAACACTATTTTTGGTGGACCAAATGGAGGACATTCAGGCAATAAGAGGAAAGCACTTATTCGAGAAACCGGTCGTGAAGTCAACGCTTCATATATTCAGCCGATAGCGACAATTTCTTTTTCTACTGCTGACCAAGAGGGAATTCATTTACTGTACAATGATGCTTTAGTGATCTCACCCATAATTGATAATGTACAGGTCAGACGAGTACTAGTTGATGGAGGAGCGTCCACCAATATACTCTCACTCTCAACCTATCTTGCTCTGGGGTGGGAGAAGTCACAATTGAAATGATGTCCTACGCCCCTAGTTGTTTTTCTAGGAGAGAAGGTCTAGCAAAAGGTTGTATCGACCTGCCAGTTATCATTGGAGAAAACGATAGCAAAATTCAGAAGATAACCGAGTTTGTAGTTATGGACGGTGCATCGGCGTATAAGGCGATTTTAGGGCGACCATATATACATGAGTTGCAGGCTGTACCCTCAACTTACCATCAAATGATGAAATACCCTATCCCAAATGGTGTTGGTGTTATCAAAGGTGAACAGAAAGCTTCAAGAGAATGCTATGCCATAGCGTTGAAGGGTACCCGAACTTGTGCAGCCGTCTTTGGAGCTACATCCGTTAGGTCGCCATTGGGTGATGAGCTCAGCAATGAACTTAGATGGGGAATGTCAAAACAAGAGCTCGAGCAAATTAAATTAGAAGCCGATGAGAAATCGTCAGCATCGGCTTGGGGCTGAAAGACCCGATGCGGGAGGAACTTGTAAATTTTTTACAAACGAATACGAATGTATTTGCATGATCTCATGAAAACATGCCAGGACTAGATTCTAATGTGATGGTTCATAGGCTGAACATTGATCCGAATTGTAAGCCTATCAAACAGAAGTGCCGACCTGTTGATGCTTTTCGTAGTGCTGTAATTTCCGAGGAAGTCAATAAACTCCTCAAAGCTGAATTCATTAAAGAAGTTTATTATCCCGCATGGCTCTCTAATGTCATAATGGTAAAAAAAACAAATGGGAAGTGGAGAATTTGTGTCGACTTTACTAATCTGAATAAAGCGTGCCCAAAAGATAGTTTTCCCCTCCCCCGAATTGACCAGCTTGTGGATGCAACAGGCGGCCATGAGTTATTGACCTTCATGGACGCTTATTTGGGATACAACCAAATAAAAATGCATGTACCCGACCAAAAGCATACGACCTTTGTAACAGATCAAGGTCTGTATTGTTATAAAGTGATGCCCTTTGGCTTAAAAAACGTAGGGGCAACGTATCAGTGGTTAGTTAACATGATGTCCAGCAAACAGATAGGTTGTAATATGGAAGTTTATGTGGATGACATGCTAGTTAAAAGTCTTACAGCCGAACAACATACTGCTGACCTGGCGAAAGCATTTGGTGTATTGAACCATTATCAGATGAAGTTAAATCCAACCAAATGTGTGTTCGGAGTTTCATCGGGAAAGTTTTTGGGATTTATGGTTAATCGTAGAGGAATAGAAGCTAACCCGGATAAAATAAAGGCTGTTCTAGAAATGGAATCTCCCAAAAACTTGAAGCAATTGCAATGTTTAAACGGTCGAATAGCCGCATTGAATATATTTGTTTCTAGGTCAATAGATAAATGCCTGTCATTCTTTAAAATCTTATGAAAAAAAGGGAAATTCGAGTGGACAGAAGAATGCGAGTGAGCTTTTGTTAAATTAAAAGAGTACTTAAGTTCGGCACCTTTGTTATCTAAACCAAAACATGGTGATTCTCTATATTTGTATTTGGCAGTCTCAGACACAGCAGTCAGTTCAGTTTTGATAAGGAATAATGACAGAGCACAAAGCCCAGTTTACTATACAAGTAAGTCAATGACGAGCGTAGAGACCAGGTATCCAAGTATAGAAAAGCTAGCCTTAGCCCTGGTTAATCCGGCCTGGTGATTACGACCTTATTTCCAAGCGCATAAGATCATTGTTTTAACCAATTTTCCCTTGAGACARGTTTTTCATAAACCAGAAACGTCGGGGAGATTAATGAAGTGGGCCTTGGAATTGAGTGAATACGACATCAGCTTAAACCGCACGTCTCTTTGAAGGGACAAGCAGTAGCTGATTTCGTAGCCGAATTGACGCCGAGTCCCTTGGTAAAAGACTCAAAACAACAGTAGACTCTGCACGTTAATGGCTCCTCAAATGAAAAGGGACGTGGGGCAGGAATACTCCTTCAATCACCAGAAGGCATCCGTTTCGAATATGCATTGCAGTTCAATTTTACAACATCAAACAATGAAGCAGAATACGAAGCATTATTAGCCAGTCTGAGATTAGCCCAGAGTATGGGTGCAGATTGTTTGTTGATCTTGAGTGATTCTCAGTTGATAGTCAACCAAATTTAGGAGGAATTTCAAGCGAGAGACGAAAAAATGGCTAGGTATTTGAAGAAAGCGAAAGAAAGTTTGGCCAGGTTCAAAGGTTTTATAATCTGCCATGTCCCCAGATCGGAAAACTCAAACGCAGATGCTCTAGCTAGATTAGTAGCAGCATTTGGACGAACATGGCCCGCACAGTACCAGTTGAGGTGCTGAATTCCCCTTCAATAAATCAAGAAGAACATTGTTCAGTGGAGACCTGACCTCGGAGCTGGATGGATCAAATCATAGATTTTCTTAAAGGAGTCTGACCAGATAATCAAAATAAAATAAAGAAATTAAGACGTCAAGCAGCTCACTATTTACTTCAAGGAGAGGTGTTATACAAACGTGGGTATTCGTTACCCTTATTGAAGTGCTTAACACCGGATGAGGTAGATTACGTAATTAGAGAAATACATGAAGGAATCTGCAGAGATCATGCTCGGCCCGAACTTTGATGTCAAAGATCATAAGACAAGGATACTATTGGCCAAGTATCAGCAGAGATACAAAGTCTTTCGTACGAAGATGTGATAAATGTCAGAAATATGCTGATTTGATTAAACAACCACCTGAGAATCTGACGCCGATCTCCAGCCCGTGGCCATTCGCGCAATGGAGGATCGATCTTATAGGACCCTTCCCTCCAGGGAAGGGCCAAGTGAAATTTGCGATAGTAGCAGTTGATTATTTTACCAAGTGGGCCGAAGCAGAACCTTTGACTACCATTATGGAAGCAAAGGTAAGAAACTTTGTTTGGCGGAACCTAATCTGTAGGTTTGGGATCCCATAAGTGATAATTTCAGACAATGGGAAGCAGTTCGACAATGAAAAATTTAATTTATTTTGTACGCGACTTGAAATTAAACACATCACGTCTTCTCCTGCCCATCCGTAAGCCAATGGACAGGTAGAAGCGGTTAATAAGATTGTTAAACGCGGGTTAAAAGTGAGACTGGAGCAATTTAAGGGAGATTGGCCATGAGGAACTCCCTGGGGTTTTGTGGTTGTACCGAACAACACCAAGAAGGTCGACAAATCAAACACCTTATTCATTAGCTTTTGGCTCGGAAGCGGTAATCCCGGTAGAGATTGGTTCACCGTCAGAACGAACTAGTCAGCAATTCAATGAAGCCGAGAACTCAGAAGCGTTGAATTTGAATCTAGACCTACTTGAGGAGAAAAGAAATGACTCACAAGTAAGAAACGCAGAATATCAAAATAGAATGACAAGGTATTACAATGCTTGAGTAAAAAAGCGATGTTTCAGACCGGGAGATCTGGTACTGAAAAAAGTTCTTCAAAAGACTGGGGCTCTAAAGCCAAACTGGGAAAGATTGTTCAAAATTAAAGATGTCGTCCGAACTGGAACATATAGTTTAGTCGACCTGAATGGCAAACAATTTGCTCACCCCTGGAAGGCAGAACATCTTAAGTTGTATAACCAGTAAATCAGTAATTTGTACAGTACTCTTTGAGCCCTACCCAAATTAGGGACTATCATAGTACATGTTATTTATGTATTCTTTTTCAATGTTTGATTGTTAAATGTTTGATTGTGCTTATGTATCACTTGTGCGAACAAAATGTTGGTCAAAACCAAAGAAGAAATGTATATAAACGATGGTGCGCATAAACAAAACGATGTAGTTCATTATTCAAACAAAAAAAAAACAAAAAAAATTTTGGAATGTGTACCGAAATTACACTTCAAAAAAAATAATAATAATAGAAGAAATGGGAGTTGAATCAGTTTAGCTTCCTTCTCTTCTCCATGCTGAGTCGACCCTCCAAAGATCTGACCTTCCTCTCCATTGCGCGAAATTCATCCTCCATAGTCACCTTTTCTTTCTCCCAGCTTTCCTTTTCCTCCTTCAAATCCCGGCACTCGAATTCAGACTGTAAAGATTGAACTGTTGACTCTTGCAGTTCACGTACAAGACGAGAAACTTCTTGCTTAAGTTTGAAAACTTTTGCCGTAGGCCACCGCAGTTCAAAACGAGAAGGAGGAGCAGTATAACAAGGCAAATGGCAGGATGAAAGGTGCTCTCCTTCAGAAATATGGGGAAGAGTAGGAATGACAGGAGATAGTGAGGGAGGAGAAGAAGAGGATGAAGATGAGTCCCCCGAGTGATCGGAGGAAATCTCCATAAAAGTGGTCGGAGGGCCGTTTACTTCCCAATACATACTCTAGGTATCGAAGTTTAAGATGAAAAATCAGAGTAAGGAAGAGGCTGTTTAAATGGATTCCAAGCAGAAGGTAGAAACGACGTTTAAATAGATGTTTCATTTAGTGGAATCCGAAAAGACCTCCAACACATAATGAAAATTCTGCAAAAGAAATCAATTGAATTTACTCGGAATATGAAATGACGGTTGAGAATTGATTCGATTACGGAGAATCGAGACGGCGTCAGGCGAAATTCAATGAAAGTGGTGCTAGTGGAATCTTTTAAGATTGGTATTAAATTCAAAAGTTTGATTCCGTTCGAAGTCCATGATTAAATTCGGTAAAATTATAACAGAAAGTAGACGTGCATGTGGATAATAGAAATAATAAAAATAGAAATTATATTGAATCAAGATCTACAACCCCAGGGGGCATCATGAGTTCGTTTTGTGTCTGATCAGCAGAGAGGATATTAACTTCTCAGATTCATGAAATTTGGATTCAATGTCGGCCAAATGCGACTTTGTTTTGGTGAGTGCAGATTTGGTATCTGTGAGTTCTGCCTCAAGCAACTTACTCTTTTCAACCTTTGCACTTAGAATGTTCTCTGTAGAGGACCTGAGATCGGGGAGCTCGGCCTTTAACTACGCGAGGAGAGGCCTAAACTGGTTAGCCACAGTAGTCAACTCGGAGACTTCGGTCAGCAAACGGCGAT